TATGTGTGTTCTGTTTTCCAGCAACAAATCCATATTGTTGTTTCCAAATTGTGTGATCTTATATATAAGAACAACGTTATATACATTTATATACAGTATATTATATACAGTATATTATATACAATTTTTTCATTAATTAATTCACTTACCTACTTATTTATGTATTTAAATGTAACTATAAGGTCTGTCACAACTTTGGATCTTAAACAATATTTTTGTCATATTTTCCAGCAAAACATTCCGCATTAACTTGTTAAAACATGTTTTCAGTATTCTTTATTCTAAATGTGCTGTATCTTGAATTATGTTTATTTTTCTTCCCCATTATAATTTATTGTTCAGATTTATGTTTAAAACTAGTTGACAGTAGGATAAGAAAAGGAAATAAAAAAATAATAATAATACATTTAAAATACGTTCTGAAACTAGCTTTAATATCTTGTGCAAGGTTTTTTTTTATGAAGCTGAAGATAAACACTGACCAGCCGACTAGTGACTTATTTTCTGGATGACTAATCCAAATGAGCAAACCCCAGTTGTGTCAAGCTTCAAAAACGACAAAAAACACCATAAAAGTACTTCATATGACGGCAATACACATCTTCTAGAGTCATAAAGTCTCTTCTAGAGACAAATTTAAGTCGGCAGAAACTGAAAATCTCCCTCAACCAACACATTTAATTTGCAGTTCCTCGTGCAAAGCTTTCGAACACTTGTCATACACCACACAAGTCATGGATGATGTTTTCTTGTTGTTTTGGGAGCTTGACAACACTCGAAAAAGCGCAAGGAGCAAATTCTGCAAAATCTATCCCACAGAAGAAAGTCACCTGGTTTGAAGAAAATTATAAGGGGTTTGATTATTTGGTGAGCTATTGCTTTCGATATGATCCAGTCCAGATGGTGTCACCCTGAAGGTTAGCAGCACTATCATCATAATGATGTCATTTAAAATGCTGACAGCTCATTGGCCGGGTTATTGATTGGGCTTCACTGGATGTTTTAAATGGGAATTAGATTATGAATATCATTACTGTTAAAGTGCTAACGGGGCTTTGCGAGCACTTAGCTGATACACTGATGCTGGAAGATCTAATTAGCTGGCAGATAAAAAAAGGATACATAATATTTATAGTCCTGAACAGACAAACTCAACGCACGTGTGAAGCAAATTCTGCAGCATTTGAATAAAATGATAAAGGTTTGGTTATAAATTAATTAAAAATACATGAATGTGTTTCCATCATTGTCTGTGATATTACCACATAATCAGCAATGCCTCATATCAGTTTGTTTCAATGTGCAATTTTAATGCAATTATTCTTAATAACTTTACGTGAAAAGTCATGCAAACGTCTGTTTATGATCTTTTCATGTTAAAAGTGTTTGACTTGACTCGTGTCAAAACACGCACAAACCTTGCTTTTTTGTCCGATTCAGTTTATTGGATCAGTTCATTTCAATTGATTCTGAAAAACGTCTCTGAAGAGTTTCTCCAGAAGTCCATTCACTGCATTTAATGATATTATTAGCTAAATTAATATATTTTAAAAAGTGCCGTTTATTTCAAATTTCTATTCAGTTATGTGAATTAGAGTGTTTGTTTGTTTTATTGCAATTACTTCACTGTCAAGTGTTCGCTCATTTGCATGTGTTTTCACGTTTGATGCTGTCTGCCTAATTAAGTTTTTTTGTGTGCCTGATAAATGTGTGTATAGTTATATACCGTAATATTAAATTAATTGTAATTGCATTAAATGCAATTTAAATGCATTTATTTATTTATCCGTTTGTTTGTTTGTTTGTGTGTGTGTGTGTGTACGAGTGCATGACTTTTATTTGCGGAGTTTTGTGTTTTTTTAGTCCATCTCTGCTTTAAGGTAATCTATAATGCATGCATTTATTTATTATTTGCATGCATGCATGAACGAATGAATGAATGTATTTATTTGATTTGACATTTTAAAGGTGCATATGTGTTCAAATATCTTTTTTGGTTGTTTGTAAAACATAAACCAATATTAATAAATTGTATCTTCAAGCAGATATGCACCTTTAAAATGTATAGTTTTTGCACAAAATTGATGGCAACACATTACACTCATCTTCATCGAATAAAATGCTTTTAAAACTGAAATTGTCAGGAGTTTTGTCTGTGTTTTGAGCAGCACAGGAGAAGAGCATTATAACACTCATGAACTGAAATGAAGCTGAAAACATGAGCCCACCACAACACCATCTCCACCACATACATAACATTTCCTCTGATCAAATATAATATTAACAGACACACAGAGCGGTGTGTTTAAACATCACAAAGCCAGTGTCTAAATAACCTCTCAGGCATGAAGAAATGTATGATGGTTTACTTGAGAAAATGTTAAACATGTTGGCAGAAAGCCGACACAGAGACGCTATACGGGGTGAAAGAAACACGTCTTTACCTTTCTGTTCCACCTCTATTTTAGGCATGGAGGAGAAAAACAGAGACAGAGAGAGAAAATCAGAGCAATGAAATAAAGATTCAACATTTTCCTCTTCTCCAGAACAACCTGAGGAACAACAAGCATCTGCTCTTGTGTCAGAATGAAGTCGAGTGCAAACTGTGTGATTTCTGATTGACGTCTGTCAGACTGCATGATGAACGTCTCAGCTCAGAGTTTGGTCCAAATCGACAGCGTTTACTCAAACTCAAGCGTGCAGAATCACAAAATGAGTCTAAGACGGAAAAACTCACACACTTTGCACCCGAGATAAAACATGTTTGTGTAGCAGCAAAACTTCCAGCAGAGACCTGTGGAGAAACAGAGGATCTCAGATTATAGTGTGTGTGTGTGTGTGTGTGTGTGTGTGTGTGTGTGTACAGTAAATGATTAAGACAGTTGTGAGATATAACAAGGAATTCAGCAATGACAGACATTAAATCAAACAGCGAGACATATAATGACACGTCACATCATTTATCAAGTAAATCTGCTTATGAAAAACATTCATACAGTAATGTAAAATAAAATAATTTTTAACTGATAAAAAAAATGTACTGTTATTTCATCCTTCCAAACTAAATCCATGCTTCAAAAAGCAGCAATGACAAATTTAACTTTTAATGCTGATAACCTTCAAATCATTTAATGCACACTTACTTAAAAGTAAATAAAACATTATTTGTTTTGGTTATTATTCATATTCACTCATCCATTTTGGTCTTATCAGCTCTGCTCAAGGGCTCCATATGTTTTACTTTTATCCAGAGCAAACTGCATTGCATTTAACATGCAGACCTACATTTTTCGATCTAACCCATGATTCTGATGAGCTACATTTTACAAATTGATTTAATAAAAGGTTTTTGTTGTTGTTTAGAATTTTAAATGAGCTCAAAATATTATTATCAAGTAAGTAGCTAGATAAATCACTCACCCACCCTTCGACATTACTGTCATAGACACAGCTGATGCATTAAAGTGAGGACTGCTCACATTTGACAGAAATTCGAAACTCTTCATAATCTTCATACTTCAGTACAAAACACTGCTGAACTTTGACAAAATGTAAATTTTTTAATGTTATAATAGGGATTTTCTAATGTCTAATTATAAATCCAACAGCATAAAATGTGAAAATAACTATATTAGGGAGTGGAAACGGCAAATGAATCAATGAGCGATCCTCTGCAGCCATCTACTGGTCATAACTGTAATATCATTTCATTTTAATTTTATAAGTGTTTGTTTTCATCCAGGCAGCAGAAATCTTCTGCTTAAGTATGGCACATTTTTAATGAATTACCTACACGAATGAATGAATGAATGAATGAATGAATATATAAATTAATGTGCAGATCTTCTTTAATGTGAATTTTACAAATCATGTTCCCATTTTGTGTAAATATATACACAAATATGCATAATTTAGAGGAAAAAAACAACAAACAAACAAAAACATAAATCTGCAATTGTGAGACAAGGCCATTTCCACACACACACACACATTCACATACTAGAGCATGTCAACACAGCTGATTTAACAACTACAGACTGCAGGTGTTTCTCTCTCTTTCTCTCTCACACACACACACACTCTCAAGTGTCCAGGTGTCTTCCAGCTACCTCACTTTTAACCATGTCAAGGCATCAATCAGCAAGAAACCGCACTACAACTAGTGTGTCAATACATGGCAATCATGTCTGACTCACAGAGAGAGAGAGAGAGAGAGACGGAGAGAGCAGAGGTCATGACAGCTGTCCACAACATGAGCAGGATACAGTTCAGCTCAACACCAAACCAAACAAAGTCAAATCCAAGAAATAAGTCATTAC